CAAGAAAACCACACCCACCAGTGACATGGTCTGGAGAAGTCTTGAGAGAATTTTATTTATTTCCCAACCTTTTCTGTGGGCTTCTTTCATTTATGTGTTTACTTGTTTGTGTTTGGGGGTGTAGGAGGAGCTTTGAGCCAATATTATGATTTCATTAAACATTGCTTGGGTCTTCAAAGTCTCCTCAATAAATATTAATTAAACTCCCCGGAGCTCTGGTGCTGGTTCCAATACAGGCAGCAAGCCCTGACTTGCATGAACAGTCTTGTTTGGATATCTGTACATGTTTGCTTTCTATTGGTTTAGACTCACTGTGGAATAGAACTGGGTCTCTTAAGACTGAGGCCTTGCTTCTAGTGCTATCAAGAATGTAAGGCATTAGGAAATGGCCCTTTGACTCATCCTACTCACTCAGGCCTCCTCCAAAGGTGTGAAGTTTCTTTTAGAATTTTTCCAAATATGTAGACCAAGGTCTTCCCACCTAACAATTTCCTGACTCTCCCAGACCCTGCCCTCTTCTTTCCTAGAGGACCTCAGGATACTATCAAGAGAGTGCTGATCACCAAAAAGAGGTTGGTACTTGTGCTGCATTCTAGAAATGCATATCAAGACTGAGTGTAGCTTCTATTTTAAAAATAAAGGATGAAGTAAGGAGGAGGTTTAAATATAACAAAAAACACTTCAGCTCTAATTTTTGGCAATATCATTTTTGTTTGTTTGTTTTTAAAACTCCTAGAATTAAAAGGCTCATTGCTATTCTCAACTGCTGAGAGACCCAACATTGGACATTGGGAACATTCTGAAAAGCTCTAAATGCTGGTAAAATGTTTTCATTAACTCTTCAATAGAACATTGATGTTCACATTTTTCTCTTTGCAATGGCCATGTGATTCTAATTGAGCTTATTTTTCAAGCCATCAGTCAGAGGTCAGGTGGAATAAATGGCCAGCTTGATCCTCTTAGGATTTATAGATTGGGAAGTCCTGGACATCAGTGCATTCCTCTTGTTATGGACATAGCCCTTAGGACATGCTGAGGCTTCCTTTCATCCATCTGGGAATTTCCCCCAAAGGCCTAATTATTTGTCTTTCACCTGCCTTGCTGGTATTTTATGTAGCCAGTCCTCACGCATGACCTCACCATATTTCCTAATTTTTATTCAAGAGCCCAACTAGTGAAATACACTCAGGCAAAATGAAAGGCAGCAGTCTTTTTTTTTTTTTCTCTCTCCTTGGTCATAGAATAGGCATTTCCTGGTCAGTGGCAGGATTTAACTAAATCAATATGCCATTTAGAACTTGATATTACCAAAAATCAGGGATACATTCTATAAACAAGGTGAAGACATAGGACCAGAGATACAAAACATAAATATAAAAAGTCAGATAAGTTAAATGACATTCACTTTAGCTACACAAAGCAAGATCAGAGGTTCTAATTTGTTTCGAAGGGGTCAGTTACATTTTAATGTCTACATCAAACATGTCTACTTTACTGTGCAGGCATTTTATTCATGCCCAATTAAGAAAATCATTGTTGATTCCACTAATATTTTCAAATAGAAAATAAAAAATAAGACATACGTCTTTCAAACACTACCTGTCTGAGAGAATCCAGAAGCTATGACAATATCTGAAATTGCTCAGAAACTATTTCAATAACAGACAAGCTAATTCAGTTTAAGAGGCTAAACTGAGCTCCATGTAAACACAGGAGGAAAAGATGCTTAGTTGCTAAGAAGAACAACTCAAAATTTTACATATAAAATTTTAAATATATAAAAGTTTTGCCTTTTGAAAATAAGAACTACAGTTTTTCAAAGGAACATACTTTATACACAACAGGATTGGTGGGGTGGATACTGACAATCTAATAGTTTCTCTGAGCATATCAGCTAAGCATCGATTCCCCTCTACCTCAAACTATAAGTTCTCGTTAAGTTCATAAAAGATACATCACAGGAAATCATAAAAGTTTATGTTGAGATAAATAGGTTACATAAGACTTATCATAATTCTGATAACACCAAGCCATTCTATATATTCTAGGATTCCTGAGCTTTGTCAATTAATTTTCTCCATTGGCCCCCAACAGTCTTTCTTCCAGTGACTCTTCTATGTTCTATGGAACATATCTTTTTCCCTGATATTCAGCCTATGCCTTTGTATGTCTATTTCCACTGCTTCATTTCTCCATTAGATGATCCTCAGCCAGAGGAATTGCACGTACACAACCTTCTCTTTCTTTAAAAATGTATCACAACTGGGTGCTTTTTTTTTTTATCATCCTTTCCCCAGACAACTAGCACTAACTGCCTTCACTGAATCTCATCCCCCCACCAGCTTCTCTAACATCCTGCTCCATTATTGTACATGTGGAACAAAGGGGGAAGTTTAAGGACAACAGGGTGGGTGTGCTGTAACCAATGATCTTTTATGTACCACAGAAATCTCAACACCATTTTGAAGATAAAAATCAATGGGCCCACTGATAACCCTTGAGTTATAGAGTTTAAGAATTTAACTCTGAAATAATCTACTTTCAATGGTGATTTTTCAGAAATTTGTTACATAGTGCCACATTGTCAAAATCTGCTTTGTTTCTTTGTGTGTGTGCTTTGTAGAATTTGAAATACTGAGAAACTTAAATGTTGTTGTATAAAGAGTCAGTTAAAATGGCCTTTTAATATCAAAACAACAAACTGACCAGTGATATAATTACTATATTACTCCAATCTAAAAATAAAAATAGACTGGTTTTTGCCAACACAGTTCCCACATTTTTTTTTTCATTTTAGGAAACTAGTTCAGAAAGTTATTTTCAACTTTAGATATCTTTTCATATTAGTGTTATTTTATGATTCAATTATTAATGGAATGGTCATAAGAACCTTTGATTTAACATATAAATAAAAACATATACTGTGTTCGATAGTGTCCTTACATTTATGATAGAAAATTTGTAGGTCTATTACTTATGTTACTTACAGGTAAAACTATCATGTCTTCATTTTAAAGAGGTATATATTTAAATAACTTTATATTAACATATTATAAAGGCCTTACGTTACTAGACTTTAGCTAATAGAAACTAAGACCCAATTCCAAAATCAAATGTCAATGGGAATTCCATTTTACTAAATTCCATACTACTGAGTATTGCCTTATATCAAAGTCTCCAAAATTACTGATGGGGACTATCTCAAACTAATTTTCTCTTCCTCTATTTTTGCAATTGAAGAAACCATGTTTGTTTGTACTAGTCATTCATTATAGTCCACCTACTTTGAAAGAAAAACAGTACTGTAATTGAATGGGTAGGACACTTACCTCCCACAGCATCTGAAAGTGAATGTGTATACATATTTTGAGCCAAAGAGCTCAGCATTGATCAAACATTTTTATAAAGATTAAGATCAAGAATGAATAGGGCTGGGTGGGGGGTATAGGATGGGGCTTGGCTAATAGGGTCAATGGGGAAAAAGGGGAACATATGCAATACTTTCAACAATAAAGATTTAAAAAAAAAAAAGAATGAGTAGGGCCATCACAACTGTAGAAATGGAGAGGGACACATCAGCACTATTGGACCCACTGGTTTGACCTCTCAGTGTTATGGGGTGTAATTCATCCACTGAAAGTATACGCACCACAAATATGTTTCAAAATGTAATTATTAAAAAAAAAACCTCAGAAATACAAATATTACAGTGTGTTTTTCTCTTTCAATTCCCCTTTCTCCTTCAATCTAGGAGTATACTATGATAAATATATTGATTCCCTGTATAGTGTATATTCTCTATGTTACTTTTAGTTGAGCTACTTCTTTTTCTGATCTTGTGTATGTTTTCATGTTTCTGTGCATAAAAAATTAGTCTCAAGGTGAAATTCTATGATGCTTCCTAACCCTTCTGTCTCTTTTTCCTAGCTAGTCAACTTAATTTTCCTCAACTGCCTTGAAAGTAACTCTCTGGTTTTAGAACATCATTCTAAACCTCCAGTTAGGAAACATTCTTGATATCTCTGGGATGTTTAGACTGGTATAGAACATTACATGGCTAGAAACTAGAACATCAGAAACTAACATTTAAATACCAAGGTCCTAACCACCTGGCCTTGGTTCAAGGCACCATTATAAATAAATATTTAATGATTTTTCTAATTGAGTTCTATAAAGCCTAGGCAATACTCCTTATACTAACAAGAACAGTAGATCTTCCCTAACATGGTAGTTTTTCAGGTGAGTCTTTTCTTCAGGTCCCAAAGGATGCATCAGCTGTCGCAAACAGGGCTTCTTCCTCTCCATCTTGGGATCTTTACAGTCAGAAAAAAAATTTTAAGTTTTTTTTAGAAAGAGAAGTGAGTGGGGCTACTATTTAGCCAAATGCTCTTTTGAATGTCAAAAAAAAGCATTGAGATGTTAGAGATTTATGTTCTTTTGACATATAAATTCCTGTCTTTCAGTGAGGCAATGAGATTCAGTGGAGGCAATGAGATTCAGCTGAACTAGTGGATTCAGTTCTTAGTTTCCTTTCGATATATATATTAAAAAAAAAAAACCAACTCCATTACAATCATACCTTTAACTAGTTAATCTAGATTTCATCTCTTGCTGAAATTCTTCTCCAGCCAATGCCGGACTTCTTGGAGGTTGTAGAAGAAGGGACCCTTTCCTCCCAGATAAGCAATTTTCTGTCTCTGCACAATACACACACGTTCAAAGGCTACCCCGTAGGCTACATTGGCATTATTGTCCATGCAGTCAGCCACAACTCGGCACTGGGGCGGCAAGGAGAAACGCTCCAGAAGCCGGTGGGCAGCTGCACATCGGTCTTCCTGGTTCCTGTGCTTCTTCACCTCAAAAGACAAAGAAGAATCCCCAGGCACCGCCCAACCATCTGAAGGATGAGCCTCATCAATGTAGACCAACAGGAAGTCAGCCACTGATGAGAACTCCTCTATCAGTTTGCTGAAGGCTGGCAGCTGGTTAGTGAAAGGAGGTCAAGTGGCTGAGCCGAAGTTGACCACCAGTGGGCGCTCAGGGCTGGCAAAGTCAAGAAGGTGGCACTCGGCTCCATCAGTTATCTTCTCCTGGGCACCATTTTCATTGTCGTTGCCTCCTTCAGGATTGGAGACGTGCACCACACTGGAATTGGGGGCATCTTCACCCAATTTCACCTGGTTGAATAAAAGAAAGAGGAAGAGCATACAACATTAAACACATTGTCACTTCAATTTACTCTATATGAAAACAAGTGGCTCTAATAAAATGTAGTGAACATATATTGATTTGAGTAAAGAGGCATCGTGGCAGGTAATGTAAAGAATGGCCCTACAGAGAATAAAAGTCTTTTTTATTTTGTGTAATCACTGAAGGTAATTATTTTTATCACGGAAGGCACTGAAGTTAATGCTCTTCATAATTAAGTTGAGACTGGTATTCTTCACTGTTCTTACTTTGCTGTCAATGCTTAGCACACATTATATAACAAATGATTAATTGACTTCATTTAAAAAGCTAAATGGTCTACTCTAAGACAAATTGTCAGAGTCATGGAACATAGTACCTCTTTCTGAATTCCTCCTTCTAAGTTCTAAAGTACAAAGAAAAGACCTTTACTTTATTGCATGATGGTAAGCCATTTATTCTCATTTAATGAACAATGATACCAATGGGCTCTATTTCTGGCCAGAGCTATAAAATGTGAGGTCCACCATTTATAAAAAGAGGCTAGTCCCACTTAGTCTCTTCAGTACTTCAACATTCCCACCTGTAAAATGGTAATAATTATGCCTCTCTTCCTCATATGATTATAGAAGGATAACAAGGAAAATAGTTCTTTGTACATGATAACTCACTGTGTGGATGTAGGCTGCCATTATGAGATGCCATAGAAATATGTAACAGAATGCTACCTTTCCCAGGCAATTCTATATTTAAATTATTTTTTTTTCCCTTAGAAGTAATTTGAACTCTCATCAGCACAACATCCTTCCTATAGCTATTGCCTACTTTGGGCTCCTATGACTAAAATCTTATTATTTTCATTAAACAAACAAAAACATTAAACCATTCTAGAATTCTTCTTGTAATTTCTTATTTGTGTGTGTGCATGTGTGTGTTTGTCTATTTCCCTCTTTTTATCTAGGAAGGTACAAACCATTTACTCTCCTATCATCTATTTTATTAACAAGCTCCTCTGAATTATAAAATACACAGGCAGAAGAGATCTAGAAGAAAATTGTCCCAGGTTCCCTCTTTGCATGTGGTATAAATAGTTGAGCACAGAATGAAAGAAAGTTTGCTGGCCTTTGGGTCTGTAAATTGATAATAAAAAACAGGCAACATAAAAGAGCCAATTACTTCAGTTTGAATGAACACAATTGGATCTTCCCTTAGAATGGTTTAATCAAAGCCAATAACATCAGGGACAACTTATGAAAGTACAATTGATTTTTATACACTATCCTTAATATTACAAAACAGTTCCAACTGGATTGACTTATTCTCCTCATATAAATACAGCCACATATAAAACTGCTGTTAATTGAAGTCGCTTAGAAGTGAATTGTTAAAGATTCAACAATCCAGACTGATATAAAAAAGTCAAGGGCTTTTGTTCAGAAGCTTCTATCTAATGTTAATGCATAACTCATTTTAATTGTAGGGAAAGAATTAAAGAAGTCCTGTCTCTCCCTTCTAAAAAAATCTTAGAAGGAATTTTTTTTACTGGTACTTTTCTAAAATAAATCTTAAAATAATACTCTGCTTTCTTGGGAAAGCAAGCTGTTGGTATGATTTCAACAGGTACATTTGTTTTTCAATTAGGGAAATGTTATTTTACCTACATTAATCTTCTTGGTTAATCTAAAAGTGACACTAGATAAAGAAAAATAATCCCCTTAGATGGATTATTTCATTTATTTATTTTTCTTTATTTTTTACTCTTCTATTGAACTTATTGGGTTAAAATTGGTTAATTAAATTACATAGGTTTCACCAAAAGATAGATATAGAGACAGTAAAGCAACAAGCAGACTGTCAAATTACAGCGGGGAGGGGAGGGAGATTTGGGGGAGATAATAGATCAATCGAAGGACTTGTATACATGCATATAAGTACAACCAATGGACATAAAACTCTGGGGGGGAGGGTATGTATGGGAGTGAGGGGGGCAAAAAAAAATCAATAAAATATACTTTAAAAATTACATAGGTTTCAGGTGTACAATTGTATAATACATCATCTGTGTATTGTATTGTGTCCAATATCCCAAGTCATCTCCTCCTATCATCATCTATCCCCTCTCTACCCTCTTCTACCTCCTCTCAACTTCCCTTTCCTATTAGTAACCACCATATTATTGTCTGAGTTTATGTGGTTTTTTGTTTGTTTGTTTACTTAATCCCTTCACCTTTTCACCAGGCCACGAACCTCCCTCCCTGCTGACAGCTGTCAATGTTTTTTTATCTATGAGTCTGTCTCTATGTTGTTTGTTAGATTCTTGTTCATTAGATTCCATATGTGAGTGAAACCCACTTGTCTTTCTAAGACTGGCTTATATAAGCCACACTTGTCTCTGAGATATTAAAATATACTTAAAATGTAAAGATATGCATTTCAAAGACATTACAAACCTATAATCTATGTGTTCTTTTTGTAATTTTAGTGGTAAGTAGCATGATCATTGCCTTACTAGATCTGTTCCACTTAAAATAGCAGTAACATTTCTAACATGGCTGCTTTTAATCTTTTTGTTGGACGGTATTCCTCAATATACTTATAATACCAAGATCTGAAGTATTCAATCAGTCTAAATCATTAGCTCTTACACTTTATGTTAATTTAGCAATACATATACAGAAAAAAAAATCATGTCTGGACTGTAGACTTGTAGGTTTTTGGTTGGTGAAAACATCCATCTGCCTTTTGGAGTCATTTTTAAGACTAACCAGCAAGTGTGTGATCTTGTTAGGTGGGCCTGTGATGCCCATAGCTCTCACCCTAGCAGCACTGTTGATCCTTACATTATTCCTGACTATTCAACTGAATAATCTAATCTGATGTTTCAGCTGCAGGTGACTCTCTTATTACCTGCAGTTAATTATCTTGGAAGGTTAAAACACTTTCTCTCTTTTTAGTGACAAAGAAAAAGTCAGCCACATAATTCTTTCCAAAATACAGGCATACTAGTTTACCTTAAAAAATGTAGAGCAAGTATAACCCCTTCACTCTAAAATTAAAAATTAAAAATTAAGAAAGTTATCACCTCTAGCCAGTTTGGTGCAGTGGATAGAGTGAATGGTACCAAACTCAATTCCGGTCAAGGGCATATGATCCCCAGTAGGGGATGTGCAGGAGGCAGCTAATCAATGATTCTCTCTCATCATTGATGTTTCTATATCTCTCCCTCTTCTTTTCTCTCTGAAATAAATATATATATTTTTAAAAGTTATCAAATACAGAATGTTTTTTGTGTGTGAGGATTTGGCATTTTGTCAAGACTGGCTTAATTATTGAATTATTGAATGAATGATAATTGTTCTATTCCTATGTAGGAGTCAGTGAAAAATTTTACATTTAATATAACCTTCACCTGCACTCATTATAACCATAGTTGGGTGATGAATGAGCTCACTGAGATAGATAATTTAGAAATGTAAACCTATTGAAGAGTACCACCATCATAAACACCTAATGCTGTTGATCTGTTCTGGATTATCCCAGTTGGTTACTTTATAAAACGAAAATTAATCCTCTTTATTTTGTAGAGCATCATTAGAACCCTACTGCAGATTAGTATATCATAAGCAGATATCCTGCTCATGAGAATGACCAGTGAAGAGGAATGCATAGGTAAGATCAAGGTTATTAATACTAGTAGGAGAAAATACACACCCATGATTTGTAAGTCCAAATGAGTGTAGACCAGTAGTCTGCTTTTATATGTATCATATATTAATCATAAAATTTGTCCATATTACCTAAAAACCTACTGGTGGAGGATAATTTAACAATAATAAAGAAACATTCAAAATTTTTTAAAAAAAGTTTGCATTTAATTTCAAAGAAAATATTTTATAAGGACATTATTGTTCATTTCTCATTTTCCCATTTGGTCACCATGAAAATTAAATTCCTATTATGACCAAAGTTTCAAATGGAGAATTTCTTGGTTTGCTTGGCTATGCACCCTGTTGAGATGGAATGGGAGAATCACCACTGTCTTCAATGGCAAAAGATTCTTTGCTTTTCCCAGGAGCAAAGCATTCCTTGACAAAGAGCCAAAATGATGAAGAAAATAAAGCTGGTTCCATAATAATAACATTTAGGCTGCAGGAAAGAAGCTAAACAAAAACAAGTTACTCCCTAATATTCCTAAACTTTGTTTTAATTTCCCACAGTGGCACAGAAAGTGTCCTGGCCACAAGTTACCTATCATCTTAATTTCTCCTTCTTAGAGGGTTTGTGTTTGGTTTTTGTCCTTAATGAGGCATATTTGCCAAAGAGGCATTCAAAAGGCATTTTTTACTCTTGCGGAAGAGTAATTAGGTCGGTACCTCTTTCTCTGCCAGCTTTAGCCACTCTAAAGAGAACCCTGCCCAGTATTTAATGCCCAGACACAAGAAGCATCATTTCCACTAATTGGTCTTGAAGTTCCGATGTTCCCAAAGGGTCCCTTTATTTTGCAACAATCAGAAAGGACGTAGGTACGTAAAATGCAATATCGTCATCACTGACTTTTATCTCTCTCATCTACACCATTACAATGGTCTTTTCTTATGTCTTTATAATCAACGTCAACACAACACCACCGACACGGGAGGTACATTAATGGTTTGCATTTTTACGACAGGGAACATCTTTGGGCCAAGCTCAAATGTTGCGAGAGCCATGTTTATAAATATGAGCAAGATTGTAACTACATGGTATGTTTATAAATCTGATCCCCTTGATGACGTGGTTCCTTTCACTCACAGTGCACGGGGGAGGGTGATGCTGCTGTGAAATGCTGGGTGAAAGGAATAAAGAAAGGACCATTCTTCACGTAGATGCTGGAAACAGAGCATATACTACTAACCTTTTTTTTCTTTTTTTCTTTTCCATTGGACAAAGTATCACCTAATCTCATGATAGAAAGCAAAGCAAATAATACAAATAGAAAGGGGAGCAGAGGGTAGCAGGATAGTTTTTTCACATCCTTCTTGCTATCCAAAGCCCAGGAATGGCTTCATTCACTATCGGAAAATTTCCAATTCCTTGACATAATGACCAGGCTTCATCAATGTCCTCACAAACATAGCCAAACAATTATTAAGGAGCAGTTTAACCTTTTACATTCAAATTGGCCAAATAAATCAGAGTTGGAGAATAAACTACCTACTCTTTCCTCTGAATTTGGTTCCCTTCTGACCATTCTCTTTTGGATTCCTACCTTGAAACATAGATCTGAGCTTTATCAGTTGCCACTGCTTTATCCAAGTGATGGAACAAGCTCTGGCTGTGGCCTTCTTTGTGTTCTTTGGAGAATTTTTCTCTCTTAAAAGAGCCATTTTCCATGGTAGAAACTAGTGTCAAAAGGCTTGAGGTGAATGAAGAGGAGCAGGAGAATGTTAAAGGGACCTTTTCAAAACCAAAATTATATGTTCAAATGAATATGTTTTCTGTACCACTGCCATATTAATCGTGAGAAGCTAAACTGCTTCTCGGCGTCTATACTGTGTGTTTACTTTTATCCTTCATTTAGGTAGAGGCTAGGCTCCCAGACAGGGCAGTTTGCTCATTGATTGCACTTTTAGTCTTTGAGCATCAGTAGATGGATGCAGTATTAAAAGCAATGACTCTGACAAAGGAAACTTAAATGACAAATATCTGTTATTCATCTCAATCTCTCATAAGTTTTTGTAGACTTGCTTTTTCATAAAAGCAGTGCCTGGAACATTCTTTAACCAAACCCAAATTATCTTTGCAAGGTTCCCTATAAAGTTAATTTCAAATTCCATTTAACTTGTTCATTAAAAAAGGGGTTTTTGTTGTTGTTGTTTATTTGTTTTATTTTGTTCTGTTTTAACTTCTTTGATGCCTCATGTAGTAGCCAAGCCCAAGGATAATACTTTCACTTCACTTTCTCTTAAAATATTCCCAAGTATCTGACATTCAACACTAAGGAGAATTAGAAATGACATGTTTCATCGTATCTCATATACACACACTCATCCTGGAAAACTCTGCTTCTGGGGTGGCAACCTCGAAATAGTGCAAGTCGGGATTGTGAAATACTGTGATGCTATCTCAAACAGTACCTCCTCCAGTATGTCCCTAGAAAATGGCTACACCCAGAGACGGTAGCACAGGAGACAACAGTATTCAGGAAAGAGATTCTGAGTGAACCTCAAATGCCACCACCAGCACCACCACCCTTACCTTACCGGGTGGCAGAAGGAGACCTAAGTTCAGTGCAAGTTGTGTTTGCCATGTTTCCGTTCATTACACACCCAGTCCAGTCTTGTCTCTGGACATGCGGGTTCTTGGGTTGTTTCTTCTCATGGTATTAGCGATTATATAAATCATTAAAAGCAAACTTAATAACATCAGTCATGAACTTGGTCACTAATCAAATCAGTAGGCAGAAACAATACAGGGGAGGAATGCACAAACCATACGCAAAAAAGAAAAACAAATCACTCATCCTTCTCAATTTCTTGGAATAGGAACAACAAAATATTGCAACACAATGGAACACTATACATTAATGAAAAAATAAAGTCTATTACAGAGGTATTTGTTTGTTTTTCCCTCTTAATTTCAGTAAGTTGCTTAATAGGAAAAACAACCTCACTTAATATTTGTGGGCAACCTCACAGTCCCTGCATTTTATGTGAGAGATGTTTACACAAGTATACACTCATATTAGTAAAATTCTTCCAGGCAGTGACTTTTCTTTTCTAGGCAAAAGTCAATTCTCTTTCAAAAAAAAAAAAAAGTAAGTCTAATATGCTGAGATTAAACCACTGACATTGCCATGTTATCTCTAAGATCTATGAATACAAAAAACATAAACATCTCACATTCAATGTACACACTTGTGGAAATGAAATGATCCCTTCAACAGCTTCTTACCATATCTCCCAGTGGCCCCATATACACAATATATTTGTGCTTTCCTGTTAGAACTTTGAGCATCATTTCCTATTATTATAAGATAATTTTTTTCCTTATTGACAAGAGTTCTAACTATTCTCCGGTCTTTAGAAAAAAATGCAAACCTTCTGCAGGTTTCTCTCAATAACAAAGGCGTGTGTTGTAGTAAAACTTTCCTAATGCACAGTGGATATTTTCTTCCTGAACACTTGTTTGATTTTCAGTGAAACAACCCTACTCTGGATTCTTTGTGTCTAGAAGTTACTTCTTTTCCTTTCCAGGGGCATAGATTTAGTTTTCTAGTGCTTATTATAGAGGTCTCCTTCCCTTTCCCCTCTTTTATTCTGGTTCTGGGATGCTGCCTGCTTAAGGTGCACTACTTCACTGGCTTGCATACTCCTCACAAACTCCCCTTCCTGGCAACTTGGACAAGATCCCCCAATACTATGAGGGAAAACCAAGACTGTCTGCTTTGATAGCAACTTTTGCCAAGTGGGTCTATTATTCTTGCTCAGGGACCTTCAGGAGTTATATGGGCATGGGCACAGGGGGGAAGGGGCAGATTGACTCATGAGAAAATGTTCCACTTTGTTCCTAAGATGAGTTGAGGATCCTCTGAACATTAAAAAAAATAAATAAATAAAAAAATAAAAAAATTAAAGGCTAAAATGCCAGCATTCTTCACTTAGAAACAAAGATCCCAACTCCGGCTTTGAGAGAGCAGCCCCCGGGACCTGACTTCCTCAGGTAAGTGAGGTTACTGCTCCGCGATCAAGGCATGCATTAGAGCAGCTTTGAAACTGAATGAACCGTAGACCCATCTGCTCTTTCTAAGACAACTTATTTCACTTCTGAGAAACAAAGCAAAAGTGGTTTCTCTTACAAAGTCTGGACTTCTGACAGCCCATGCTGAGATCTTCCTTTTGCAAACTGTTACCTAGTAACTCGGGACACAGGGTCTGATAACACTTTCAAAAGGGTTCAGGTTGGAATCAATACAGAAGATGATGCTGAACACGGGCTCGCTTACGTTAACTCTTACCTCTCCCAGAAATGAAGCAGATAGTATGCCAAAGCACACCTGCTGTGACCATTTCGTGCAACCCTGTCCGCTCCCTGAGTTTTGGTAGTATGTTCTGACCAACCTCTCCCCTACCCCCAACACCACTTATTTTTCACTCATTGAACTGTCTTCCCCAACACAGCTCACCTAGCAATGCATCAAACAAAACATCGGAACCCCAGTTTATAACAAGAGCATGTGACACGCAGCAGTTTGCCCTCCCCAGCATCTTCTTACTTTTTCCAAAGTTCTCCTGCCAACACCCTCTCTACTCTGACTCTGAAATCACAGCAAGCCATTACATGACCCTTATGCCAAGACTCCTTACTAGCTCACACAGTCAGTGTGGCTTCCTACCTGTCAAATCTGACTCCTGTGACAGGTGTAGGAAGTCAAGGCAGGAGCTCACTTGAGCATAAGCCCTCTGCTCTCCCGCAGACTCCACAATCTCACCCCCAAGTTCCCTGTGGCCACCAGTCCCACACCCTAGCAGCCCCTGCCCCTGCTGCCCCAAGCAGCCCCTTGGCCCGCTCACCTGTTTGTAGGCATCCAGGAGGAAGCTCTTCCAGATGCAGCGCATCCCCTCTGAGGTCAGCATGCGCCTCCACTCCCCGCGAGTGGACTTGGAGCGGCTCAAGAGCAGCACCACGTGCTTGAGGAGAATGACCGAGTCATAGAGCGCCAGGAAGAGGCAGTTGGAGAAGAAAACTGGCAGAATCTGCAATGTGATCAGCAAGTCTACGCTGAGGATGCCCATCTTCCTTGCCTTCCAAGTCAGTTCCTGTGTGTGCCGTGGCTCCCCTTCACCCTCTTACTTAAAAGGGGGTGGCAATAGAGGGGTGGGGGAGGTCAAGGGGAAGGTGGAGGGAGGGGTGAGGGGAGAGAAGGAGAAAAACTAAATTAAAAGGAAGCCCAAGATCACTCCTCTTTCAAAGAAGCAGAAATGGCAAGACCAAGTCCAGTCTCTCCAGCCCAGCAGTTGGAGTGTGCCCATCAATTCATTCAATTCGGAGCTGCTTGCATTTTTTTTTTCTTTTCAGGATTTAAGATGTAAAAAAAAAAAAAAAAAAAAAAAAAAAAGAACACCTAAAAAAAAAAAAATACTGGCGTACGGGTCCCTAATCCAGTTACCCTCTCAGAGTCGATTAAAGACAGGCAGTTCCACTTTCATTTCCTAGCACCTATGAGACTGTGGCAGAGACAGCAAAATTTTCTGTAGCTTTTCATTGTCTCTATGTTCAGATACGTAGCCTGTTTCTTTCTTGAGTTGCCAGAGTTTTTAAAATGTGCTTTAAGGGTAGGGTTTTTTTTTTGTTGTTGTTGTTTTTGCCCCCCCTCCTTTACTCCGTTTCACACACACTTTCTGTTCTCCTTCCCTCAGCCTGTCTCACTCTCTCCCTTCCCCTAGAGCGACTGACTCCTCTCCTCTCCTCATTCCCTCTGGCTCTGCTTCTGCTATCTGTGGTGCAAAGTGCTCTCTGCAGCCCAGTGAGTCTCCCTGAAGCCTTTTATACATTCCCTGGCTAATTGCTGCAATAGAGAAATGAAAGCCTAATCTTGGTAAAGATCTTGACGTCATTGAGAAAGAGGGCTTTACTTTGGCCAGGACTGCAGTGAATAGAAAAGCAAAACTCGACAACTTTTTTTTTTTTTTTTAGAAGTTGGGGGGGGGGGTAAAGGGAGTGGGGAGAAGGACAGTGGAATTTTGCTTTGTGATTTAAAGAGAGAGAGAGAGAGAGAGGGAACAAAATTAATACCTCTGACGGTTTTCAGGAAATGCTTTCAAACCTTGGGAAAAGTAACTTACTATAATGTGTAGATTTGATAAGTTAACACTTTCTTCTTTGATTATTATTATTACTGCTATTATTATTCATTTAGAAGAGGGGTTAGAAAGAAGGGATCCTGGAAGACAGATAGAGAAGAGGAAGAATAGGTCACCTTTGCTCTATTTCTTGGAAGATGTGAATGCTTACATTTGGTCTTTATACTTATACAGTATGACTCTCATCAGATTTGTGACCTAGGTTCCTTAAATATTTTTTAATCAGGATTTTATTTAACAAAATTCAGAGTGAGTTGTGAGGTGGAAAACTTTTCAACTCTTTGAGTACCACCACAGCATTTCTCTAAAGCTGCTTGCTGAAAATTAATGTAAGTATTCTTTGCAGTTTTACCAGTTTCTAATGCCCTCGTCCAATAAAATATTCCAGACATGAAAGCAAGCTAGGTGACCAGACCTCCTTTTACTTCCATTTTGACTGTATGCAAATTAAATTAAAACTTTCCATCAACTGCCATTAAGATGCCATAAGGTTGAGAAATAAATTCTTTATAAGAGATATTGCATTTTGTACTTTCCCTGCTTCTATTAGCACAACTCCTAAGAGACCTGACACTTTTGGGATTCTATCTTTTCTCTTAAAACACACACACACACACACACACACACACACACACACACACACACACAACAAAACTTTTAAATTAATTTGTAGACAATTAGGAGCAGACTTTGAATTCGTTCAAGGGTCACTCTGACCACTCCTTCGTGACCTACCTGTCCCATCCATCTCCAGCACCGACAGGTATTTAGGCAGACAATGCATAGGCAGTATGTCATGACCCCACCTCATTCGAATTTTCCTTCCTCACTTACCTAACAGATCACCTCTAGGAATTATGTTTTCTTAGAAAAAAGGAGTGGCAAGTATACACCCTGGAGTGGGGTTAGAGAATTTTAATTGAAAATTAATTAGCTGACTTGTCTATGTACAAAGAGTTCCCATTAAACGTGAGCTAAGTAGTGGGTGCTAACCTTCAGTTAGTACATTTCTGTGTTTTGTCCCTGTGGCTAAAGCCTTCAAGATCACAGAAATAATTTAAAGAACTGAAACAGGGTCATTATTGGGTGGGCCCAGGGGCCAAATTCTGCATACAGATTCATTTTATTTGGTTTGCACGGTGTGTTTTTTTTTTTTTTTTTTTTAAGAAATAATTGAATGAGAATGCCTTTAGGTTCTGTGAGACTAGGTATTCCTGTCTGCTTTGTCCATTGTTGTCTCCCAGTAGTTAGAACCAGGCCTGGCACATAGCAAGTTCAAGGAGGATATACTGAGTGGATGAACGGGTAGGACATGCATTGTTCCACAGTAGGGGGCACCATTCACATACAATATGATATGACTGGGGTGCCCCAGAAATATATATATATATATATATATATATATATATATATATATATATATATATCTCCTAGTGGACTTGGGTGTGGCCCTCCCCAGTCTCACAACCTTCACCACCCCATTGTCTAAAAAATCTGATTCTTTCATTTTTATTACCAGTTTAGTCTGTGATAAATTTTGAATTTGCATTCCATGGACTAAATGTTCAGAGACTTTCAGAGCTTAGAAAAAATGAATATAAACCACACAGAAAAATATTTTTCCTAATACTAGCATACAATGTTAGCAAAAGAATATTATTCATATATGTAATATACATTTACTCCTTTTATATGCTAATCTTCCAATGTCCTTATGGAAAAAAACAAAAGATGAATAGAGGAAAGTGACAACATGGTATTTTAACCAGTATAAATGGGAAAGCTACAGGCCAGAGTCCTAGCCAACAATGACAGGAGAAGGTGTGGACTCAGGAAATGATGCTTCCACTTACTGCCCAAGTCTTAAAATCTCACCCCTTCTCAGCCATTCACGTTATCCTGTTTGAATTAAACCAGTGCTTCTTTGAGGGAAAGACTTTAGCATCTGTAAACTGATTCTTTCTCTCTTATTATTTGCTTTCAAAGAGAGAGGTATTTTTGGAAGTGGTAAGATAAAGACAGGGATTGGTAGAAAATCAGAAAAATGCTTCCTTTTTCAATGCAAAGTTCAAGGCACACACAGACTGCAAACTGTTATAAATTAGAATACTATTTTTCTTATTTTTTACTTTTTCTTTTCACTTTTTAAAAAATATTTTTATTGTAGTGCTGCTCTTTTTAAAAATATATTTTTTATTGATTTTTTTTTTTACAGAGAGGAAGAAACAGGGATAGAGAGTTAGAAACATCAATGAGAGAGAATCATTGATCAGCTGCCTTTTGCACACCCCCTACTGGGGATGTGCCCACAACCATGGTACATCCCTTGACGGAAATCGAACCTGGAACCTTTCAGTCCACAGGCCAATGCTCTATCCATTGAGCCAAACCAGTTTCTGCTTCACTTATTTTATTTTATTTTTTTTAAGTCATAAGTGTTTGAGGATTTAAAAAAAAATAAAAGAACAGCCCAGCTGGTATAGCTCAGTGGTTGAACATTAAGCCAGGAACCAAGAGACCACCGATTGGATTCCTAGTCAGGGCACATGCCTGGGTTGTAGGCTCTATCTGCTGTGGAAGTTGTGCAGGAGACAGCCAATCCATAACGTTCCTCTCTCATTGATGTTTTAATCTCTCAGTCCCTCTTCCTCTCTCTCTTTATAACTCAATAAAATATATATATTTAAAATAAATAGAAGAACAAATAGGCACATAGCCTACCTGATTGTATCATTTCTCAGATTTCTTCTATCATTTTTTACTAAATGAATAAATGAGTGAATCACAAAACTGAGTGTCATTCTTTTGCCTGTTAAGACAATCCATCCATTCTAGAAATTATACTTCCCTAGTAATGCTGTTTCCTTTTTTACATTTGATTCACAGTTGCTGGTTTAAACTAATAAAAATATTTAGCACTTTGATCTTCAAGTAACTCTAAACTCATTAAGTAACAAAAATAATCCATAAAGTGACAGTACAATTTGTCCCATCACGTAGATGAGTGAAAGCAAATTATCAAGGTTGTAGAGTCAGAGCTGGTGCTTGGATATTTTTGCCAACTCTTAACCTCACATTTTTCCTACATGACTGTTTTGTGGGTCCTGGTCATTACTCTGAGACTCAAAGCTTGCCCAAAGTGGTTGTGCTAAGTAATTTTACCTTCTAAATTGCCAAAGATATCTGGAATTTCACATCTGTTTAATATTGACCCAATTCAAGTTCCTCATTTAGATTTCATATGATCATTGAAAAGGCTTGGATATCTAGTTGGTCATGTTAAGTGTTCTTGGTAATCAACAATGCAATGAGTCAAATGCAAACTGATGTGTGGTGTGTTAGTTGAATTTCCCTAAATATGTAGTACACAGGTTTTAAATTCCAAAGAGAGGTAGAGGCAGCCTGGGCAAAATGCTCTGGGCTTCTTTTTCTTATTCTTTTTCTTTCTTTTTTTATTGATTTCAAAAAGGGGAAGAGAAAGGGAGAAAGAGATATAAATATCAATGATGAGAGAGAATCATTGATTGGCTGCATTCTGCACCCCCCCCCACACACACACACACACATTCACACTAGGGATGGAGCCTGCAACCTGGACACGTGCCTTTGACCAGAATTGAACTCAAGACCCTTCAGTCCATAGGCCAAAGCTCTAGCCACCGAACCAAATTGGCTATGATGTTTTGGGGTTCTTAATAATTTTGCTGAACCACTGCAAAATTGTTTAATTTTTTTCTCACTCCAATAGTATGAGAGCATCATGTCCTACCATTTCCTCCTTCTGATAGGAACAATAACACAGATATGAGTAAAAAGTCTGCCTTTAGTCTACTTTTTGTCTCTTAAATTGAGACTGAGAAAATTAAGTTGGATAACTCAAAAACAGTCTTAGACATTTCAAGGATGGAAGCTATCATTGCTATTTCCTTATT